GGTTTTCATCACCTGGGGGGGAGGAGGGCGAAGGTCAGCACAGGTCGGGATATGGAGATGCTGGTCGTTTGATATGAGTCTGATATGATTCTCAATTGATTTTAACTGAAGTTGGAGTTATAGCTTATATGATGTGATATATTTGATTTGGAGATTCTGAATGACGGGAAGAAAGGGGAAGAAAAAGAAAGTCAGAGAAAAACACGACATGGAAAAGGGCCTCACCTCGGAGTGGTAGTCCCTCATGCGCTTGGTGTAGGCGGCGGGCTTTCCCTGAGTCTTGATCTTGACGGACACGAATCTGCTGCCGGTGGTGGCGGTGGCGGCGGTGGCGGTCGCGGCCTCCTCGCCCTCGACGTACGTGGCCCCGGCGGAACGGCACTGGCGGTTCCTCATGGCCTCCTGGATGGCCATCTGCAGCTGTCGTTTCACGTCCACGGAGCGCTTGGACGGCGCCTGGCACCGGGGGGAGGGGGAGCGGGAGGCGCTGGTGGCGCTGGCGGAGGCATTGAGCGGGGAGGCCGCCTCAGCCTGGTCGTTGCAGGAGACCACGTCCACTTCGTCTTCTGCAGGAGGAGAAAGGGGGCTCGTTAGTACTGCCATTGGGAATACTAAATACAAAAAAGAAAAAAAAAGGAAAATGGAGGAAAAAAAAAAAACGAAAAACCAGCACATTAAAAAAAAACGCTAAAGTACCCAAAAATAAACAAAACAAACCTCTCACATTCACCCTGCCCTTCCTTCCTCCCCAATCCACCCCCCTTCCAACTATACACCATATTAGCCCAAAATGTCTCTTTATTTATTTTGCTCACTTCCCCTGCCCCCTCCCCCCCACCGAGTAAGCAGAGTACTCCGGGTATACTGATGATTTACACGCCAGAGGAGGTGACGGCCGCAAGATGAATGCGTCTCGCGAGGAAATATTAATAGGCCGACTTGACTCCTTCCGAAGGCTTAAAAAAAAGGGGGGGGGGAGGGGGAGGGGGGAGGGGGAGACTGAAACAGGAAGAGAGGCGTCGAGAAGGGGAAGGGGAGAGAGAGAGAGAAAAAAAAAAAAAAAAAAAAAAAAAAGGGAAAGAATATGGAAACGGAAATGGAAGCGTAGAGTCAAGAGAGAAAATGGAAATGGGAAAGGAAGAATTAAGCAAAGAAAAAGAAAAGAGAAAAACAGAGAAGGCAAGGACGCGTTAAGTAAAAAAGAAAAGAAAGAAAGAAAAAAAGAAAATGGGAGAGGAAGAGTTAAAACAAGAAGAAGAATGAAAAAGAAAACGGAAAATGGCATGAAAAGAGAAAACGTCTGCATAGAAAATGCGAAGCGCCCGTGCATTCGTGTTGCGGTTGGCATTCGGAAGCCGCGTTTTTTTTTTCTTTTCTTTTTTTAATTCCGTCTTGCCCTCTTTATTTATCCGTATTAACTCATTTTCTATTTCTATTATATTTTCCTTTCTTCGTTTCATCGAAATACATTAAATAGATAAATAAATACATATGGCGATACATAAACGCCAAAACTGAGTAAAGAGAGAGAGAGAGAGAGAGAGAGAGAGAGAGAGAGAGAGAGAGAGAGAGAGAGAGATAGAGAGAGAGAGAGAGAGGAACCGAACCCTGTCTACTTACGGACGATCTCCCCCCCTCCCCCCCCCCTGCGAGTTAAAGGAAAAGGAGGCAAAGTCTTGTGCGATTTGGCTCCCGCGTTCCTGTCGTGCCAAGAACGCTTCTCTCCCCCCCTCCCCTCCCCCTCTCCCCCTCCTCTCCACTTCCTACCCAAACCCCCCTCGTCTGGCACTTCAACCCCCTCCCCCCCCTCGCTTGACATTCCCCGCCGCTGCTGAGCTACTCCCACGAGGGGGAGGAGGGTAGGGGGGGAGACGAAGGGACACTACCTCCCCTCCCCCCTCCCCCCCAGAGAGTACTCCCCTTCCCTCCTTCCCTTACGAAAATCATGGAACCTCTTAGATCACGAACACGGTTAAATACACGCACGCGACGAACAGAGGGGATAGGGAAGGGAGGGAGGGGAGGAAGGGGGAAGGGGAAGGGGCAGGAAGCTTCTATGGGTAAGCTTTTTGGGAAAGGGAGGGGAGGGGAAGGGATAGATAGGGGTGATGACGAGGATGGGCAGGGAGGGGTGGGGGAGGGGGGGAAGAAGGGGAGTTAAATTTCTTCTAAGGGGAAAAAGTAACTCTAAGCGATTTTTAGTGTCACATGAAAGGCTTTCTTCGGGAGAGGGGAAGTTAAGGTGTTTTCCCCTCGGAGACGGAGAGAGCGTGCGCCCGGAACCGCAGCCTCCTCGTCACGTAAAACGGAGGTGTGGAAAATACAAAACAACATAATTGGCTCCCACGAAATATGCCAGGCCAAGAATGAGTCTTTATGGCGTGAAATAAAATACTCTCTCGTAAGTCATCACGAAAAAAGATATTGAAAATCTTTCAAAGATGATAAAAAAGTATGAAAAAAGTTATTTTGTCATTAAAAAAAACTTTGAAGCGAATATAATTTTAGACCGAAGATATAGGCCTATGAGAGTCTATGCTTGTTACCGAGGAAGAGACGGGGGGGGAGGAGGAAGGAGAAGGAGGAGAACGTGCAGAGATGAAGAAAGAAAATGGAGAGAGAGAGAGAGAGGAGAGGAGAGGAGGGGAGGGGGGAGGGCACGAGGACGATGGCGCGGGGGGGGGGGGATAAAGGGGAGAGGAGTGACTCGTCTAGAGCGGAGGGGAGGGGAAGGGAGGGCAGAGAGAGGAGAGAGAGAGAGGAGGGGAGAGATGAGAGGACGAGACTTGTCTAAAGGGGTGAGGGGGGGGTGGGGGAGGGGGGGAAGAAGGGGAGTTAAATTTCTTCTAAGGGGAAAAAGTAACTCTAAGCGATTTTTAGTGTCACATGAAAGGCTTTCTTCGGGAGAGGGGAAGTTAAGGTGTTTTCCCCTCGGAGACGGAGAGAGCGTGCGCCCGGAACCGCAGCCTCCTCGTCACGTAAAACGGAGGTGTGGAAAATACAAAACAACATAATTGGCTCCCACGAAATATGCCAGGCCAAGAATGAGTCTTTATGGCGTGAAATAAAATACTCTCTCGTAAGTCATCACGAAAAAAGATATTGAAAATCTTTCAAAGATGATAAAAAAGTATGAAAAAAGTTATTTTGTCATTAAAAAAAACTTTGAAGCGAATATAATTTTAGACCGAAGATATAGGCCTATGAGAGTCTATGCTTGTTACCGAGGAAGAGACGGGGGGGGAGGAGGAGGAGGAGGAAGGAGAAGGAGGAGAACGTGCAGATGAAGAAAGAAAATGGAGAGAGAGAGAGAGAGAGAGAGAGAGAGAGAGAGAGAGAGAGAGAGAGAGAGAGAGAGAGAGAGAGAAACCGGAAAAAAAACGGGAAGAGGAAACATAGCGGAGGGAAAGAAAGGGAGAAGGAGGGAGAGAGAGAGAAAAGAGAAAAAAAGAGGAGAAAGCGAAGGAGGAGAGGAGTAATCAGAGGTCAGTGCCACCAAACACACAGGGCAATGTGCTTAAAGAGGCAGAAGGAAGCCAAGAATATCCAGTGGGAAGGCAAGTTGGTGATAGGGGGCGGAGGAGACAAGAAACGCCTTCAAACTTGAACCCAGATAAGCAGACAACAGTTATGTACCTAGAGCCACCTCCCTCCTCTCCTTTCTTTTTAATCTAATCTATCAACGGCAGCTTGCTTGGTCGGCGAGATGAAAGAGGAAGGAAAGGGAGGCAAGGAGATATGAGATCTAAGAAATATTAAAAAAAAAAAAAAAAAAAAAAAAAAAAAAAAAAAAAAAAAAAAAAAAAAAAAAAAAAAAAAAAAAAAAAAAAAAAAAAAAAAAAAAACGAGAGAAAAAAAAGAAAGGGGGAAAAAAAGAAGGGGGGGAAAAAACCCGGAATCTGCATCGCCGTCGCCAAGCATTCCTTCGCCGCGACCTCAGCGTTCGCCTGCGTTCCACCGCCGTCTTTTTGAAGTCTCCCGTAAGGCCAATTGTATTTAATTATACTTTCCTTTTTGGCAGCGGGGTCGAAAGGAGGAGGGAGGAAGAATAAGTGGAGAAGGTAAAGAGGGAGGGAAGAAAGGGAAAAAAGGATGAAAAAGAAGAAAAAGAAGATACAATAAGAGAAAAAGCATCAGAACAAGAAAAAACACAACTGAAATCAAGTAGAAACCACGAACAGATAATAACGAAAGGAGAGCAAGAGTGGCGAAACGGACGTAAAAGAAAAAAGAAGAAAAGAAAGAAAAGATAGAAAAAAAACGAAAAAAGGAAAAAAAACGAGAGAAAAAAAAGAAAGGGGGAAAAAAAGAAGGGGGGGAAAAAACCCGGAATCTGCATCGCCGTCGCCAAGCATTCCTTCGCCGCGACCTCAGCGTTCGCCTGCGTTCCACCGCCGTCTTTTTGAAGTCTCCCGTAAGGCCAATTGTATTTAATTATACTTTCCTTTTTGGCAGCGGGGTCGAAAGGAGGAGGGAGGAAGAATAAGTGGAGAAGGTAAAGAGGAGACGAAACGAGAGAGAGAAAAAAAGGAGAAAAAGAAAGAAAAGAAAAGAAAAGAAAAAAAATTCATAACCGTTTTGACTCTTCCATGATTTTTCCCCCCCGGCACTGATCACATGTTTGTTTTCCCTTTCCCGATATGGGTCACTATGGTTTATTTTCACGAAGGAAACAAGGTTAGGCAGTAAATAATCGAGGCCACTGTACACTATCCTTGCTATCTCATAGGCAGGTGATGTCAACATTGGCACAAGACTAGCATTGCAAATAAAGAAGAGCAAAATGAAAGAGAAAGAGAGAGAGAGAGAGAGAGAGAGAGAGAGAGTTAATAGATAGAGAGATAGAGTTAATAGATAGATAGATAAAGAGTTAATAGAAAGATAGATAAAGAGTTAACAGATAGATAGAGAGATAGAGAGAGAGAGCGAAAGGGGGCGGAGGAGACAAGAAACGCCTTCAAACTTGAACCCAGATAAGCAGACAACAGTTATGTACCTAGAGCCACCTCCCTCCTCTCCTTTCTTTTTAATCTAATCTATCAACGGCAGCTTGCTTGGTCGGCGAGATGAAAGAGGAAGGAAAGGGAGGCAAGGAGATATGAGATCTAAGAAATAATAATAAAAAAAAATGAAAGCATGGCAGTGACAGAACACATGATAATGAATTCACAAAAAGGGATTGATTATTTCGATGAGAGAGAGAGAGAGAGAGAGAGAGAGAGAGAGAGAGAGAGAGAGAGAGAGAGAGAGAGAGAGAGAGAGATAGAGAGAGAGAAATATAAACTATCTTCAGCTTTATTTATCCTCTCATATATGAAAAGCTTAAAGAATAAAGTCTTTCTAAGCCACCTTAAAATAAGGTTTCCCGCTCACTTCCGCCTTCGGAATAAAGCCGTCTTTACAAGAGTTATAGAGACGAAGGAATATTTGAGTAAGAAGAGAGGCTAGCGAAAGTGAGGAATAGAGGGAAAAAAGGAGAAGGGAGGAGGGAGGGAGGGAGGTAGGGGAGACAGACAGACAGATGAGAATGATAATAATAATAAAATAATAATAATAATGATAGTAATAATAATAATAATAATAAAAGCAATAATAACCCAAAAATAGCAGTAATAATCAATAAGAAAAAAAAAGTCTCACGAGGGAGGGTCTAACGCCGCGCGGGCCTGGCAACACTGCCTCCCCGCCGTTAGTTCGCGGCGCCGCCAACAGATGGCGGGAGCGGCCGGTCTTGCGGTCATGCTTTAATATTATATCATTTCTCTCATTTCTCTGCCTCACTCATGCTGGTCGGCAGTCTACCCCTAAAAGCTTGTTTATATGTATTTTTTTTTTTTTTGCTTCTCTCTCCGAAAGGAAGGAAATGGAGAGTGCTTTGCGTTTTGGGTGTAATGGAGATTAATTCCTATATGTGCTGTGATTCTCAGCCTATTGGAAACAGAATGATAAAAAAAATTAGAGTTGGGGAAAAAAGGGCCATTTTGTCCATATTCTCGAGACGAAAGAGAGAAAAAGAGCGTTGATAATGTTATTTACGAGAAGGGGAAAAGAGGAGGCACGGGAGAGAGCGAGGGACTGAACTTACCCGTGTCTGAGGGCGTGAGGATCCCGGGCATCGTGTGGTTTTCAGGGGCGGGGACTCTGCCGCAGTAGTTGTGCTCGTTGTGCTCGATGCTGCTGGCGGGGGAGGCGGACGAGGGGGAGGCGGAGGAGGAGGAGGAGGAGGCGCTGCTGGAGCTGCTGCGGAAGGCGCTCTTGGCGTTGTAGCGGGAGGCGCTGTTGGTGCTCCTGGGGCTGCCGGAGGGACTCGACGTCTCGCTCATGGACTCGTCGATGTCGCAGTCGCTGTCGGTGCCGGAGGGCGTGTCGGGCAGGTTGTCCTCGGAGTCCTCCTCGTCGTCCTCGGAGATCTCGTCGGGGCGGAGGGCGTCCCTGAGGGCGGCGTCGGCCGAGCACTCAGACACCTGGCGGTCCTTCCTCGGCGCCACCTCCAGCAGCGAGGAGCAGCAGCCGCCGCCCCCCCACATGATGTCTCGCTTGACGGACTCCTCGGGCACGGGCGCCATGGGCGGCGTCCACCACGAGGGGCAGCCGGCCGACCAGTCCATGCTGGTCTCGGCTCCCAGGGGCGCGGTCTCCATGCCCTCCAGGTCGGACAGGATGTCGCTGATATCTGAAGGAGGCGTGGCCGAGGGGGACTCCAGGATCTCGGGGATGGAGGCCACGAGGTCGTCCAGGTCGTGCTCTGTGGGGGGCGAGTGCGGGGGCGTGGGCAGGGTGGCCAGGTCCTGGTGGAAGGCGGCGCTGGCGGAGGCCGTGGAGGTGAAGCCCATGACGGGGGAGAAGCCGCTCATGCTGTGGTGCTCCAGCATCGCCTCGGGGTTGGTGAGGGCGAGGGCGCGGTCGTGCTCGATGTCGAACTTGCTCCAGATGTCCTCTGGCAGGGCGTGGTGTGGCATGGGCGTCGGGGAGAGCCAAGACTCCGACAGGAGGTCAGGGGAGGTCGCCATCAATGCCATGGCGGCAGAATCTGTCACGGGAGGAGAGCAGACAACAATAAATACGAGACCAACACCAGAATACGAGAAGACACAGCAACCATCCTAGGATACGTTCCCTCACCTAAAAAAAGGGATTATACATACACAAAGAGGCCTATATATCTAAGTAAATAAAACAAATCCACACTTCACTCAATCAGGAACAATAGCACGTGAGAGAAGAACTGGGAAAAAAAAAATCACTGACACAGAATTCAAATCCTACCCCCTGAATCCTGACAACCCCCCTACCCCCCCTACCCCTCAGAGACCCTACATCCTTCGCAGTGGAGTCTGATAGTGAGTGACGTATCCACTCATTCATTCATTCACTCTCCCGCCACTAAGGTCACCCCCCTCCACCCCACCCCTGGACGCCTCCACTCCCACCCCCTTCCTACTCCACTCCATACCCCCCCCCCCTAACTGTTCTAGTACCCGCGTTTGCACACATACACAGACACACACACATACATACACATAAGGATAACAGACAAACACAGAAACACAATATTCACCAATCCGTACCATACAAATAATCACAAAGGACGAGACAAACGGTTAAAATCAGGATAAAGAAAGATAAAAAAAAAAACTCGCTAAAAAAAAACATACCAAAGACATAAAGTCATCTTTGAAAACGCGAAGATTACTCATTATTCACACACAAAAAAAATCCCCATAAAAGGAAAAGGGGAAAAAAGGATAAAGGCATATCTCAAGCCTCTCCTACGTGTCCCATCCCCGGCCTACCAGCTCAAACAACAAGAGTCGAAAACACGTAAAAGAGAGACCTACTACCTAGAACAGCAACGTCACGAACTATTCAGCGAGGAACGAGAGAGCTTTACCCATATAACGACAGACTGTAATCTCAAGGGATAATGAATGCTATCACGGGCGCTTTATATTCCTCGTTACTTTCAGCCTGAGTGTCAGAGTGAGACGGGTTTTATGAACAGAAGCAAGAAAATGCGCGAGTAAGACCATGTGCCAAAAACGCCAGTGTTAAGCCAGTTCTTGCTGTCAAATTCAACCACGTGAGTCAAGGGTGAGAGCGAGGAAGGGAGGAAGGAAGGAAGGAGGGGGAAGGAGAGAAGGAAGGAGAGAGAGAGAGAAGAGAGAAGAGAGAGAAGAGAGAAGAAGAGAGAAAGAGAGAAAGAGAGAGAGAGAGAGAGAGAGAGAGAAAAGCATTGTGCACATAGTTAAACAGAACCTGGACAGACCTAAAAGAGAAAAAAGAAAAAAAAGAAAAGAAAATGCGGGCACATCCTAATCGCCTACGCTCAGTACATCAAATCTTCGCAAAAATGAGAAATAATTTAATGCAGGATTGATGTCATTCTTGAAGTCCCACACACTAACCCTTGAAAACGACAAATAAATCTTTCTCTTCTATTTCTCATTTCTACCTTTCTCTACACACGCAAGCAACAACACAACCAAAGAAAGAATCACATCCTTCCTAACCTTAAACTAGGAACAGCTGAACCCAAAAGTTCAAAAACCAAATACCGTTATTCCTTGAAAAAGAAAGAAAAAAAATCTCACCAACGGAAAAAAAAGATAGATTTACTTAGAAAAAAACATAAAGGAAAATTCGATTAGTTTACTCCGGTCATTTGATGCTCTATTTCCGCTTACAACTTGACTGACAACATAAAAACAAAGTGACAAAAAGGTGATTTTGTACACTTCTATTCAAAGTCTGATTCCCCGTTTATTTCAAAGTGTCAAAATCTCTCCAAATTTTCTTTCTGTTCTTCCAAATGCAATAAAAACTATAAACGAGAGATAATACATTAATACAAAAATAAAGGAGGAAATAATGAAATACTACAGCAAAGAATCCAATAAAAACATAAACAAGAGATAAAACATAATACAAAAATAAAGGAGGAAATAATGAAATACTACAGTAAAGAATCCATAGCACAAAGACACGTGACTCCACACTATTTAATTCGTTGTAGAATAAATCCCAGAAAGTTATTCGCTTCCATGATCCATAATGCGATTATTTTAAAAACAGTACTATAAATATTACCTTTTGTCACTTGTACTTTACGGATACAATACATACACACGCACACACACACACACACATACGCACACATACACACGTACACGGACTCCTCTGCCCTTATAAAGTAACATCACAATAAAATAAGTAAATGCACTTATTCTACACACTAAACTCACGGCTTCGACGATTCTCCTTCTTTCAAACCATAGCATAAATATCCTCACTTTAAGCGCCTCAGCGGGGCACCAACGATCACTTTTTTGTCTCGTATCTTGTATTTTGTATTAAGTTTCCAAATAAAAAAAAATCAGAAAAACAAAGAAAAAACAGTATAATACAACACAGCGATAGGTAACCATACACACCTTCACTAAAATAGAACAAACTTGGTTCAGTAACGGATCGAACTGGAAATGTCACTTCGGTGCTTCATAGAAGTAATCCAGAGACCTAGCAACTAGGTAGGTGTGCACTAGCGCACGACATGCGTCTTTCCACGTCAGAGTCCACACATTAACTAACGACAGCAGACACTACAGAAATAAGCCCTCCCCGAGTCGAGACGCGAAGCTCCGCCCACTCCGCGCGACGTCACGAATGTAGCTCCTCCCACGTGATGTCACTATCTTAGCTCCTCCCACTACTTGACGTCACGATTGGAGGGAACCAGTTTTATGGGGGTTGTTGCCAACGGTGCTTATTTCATATTAAATTGTTAGTTATTAATGGCTAGAATAGAATTTTTTTCTCACAGTCCTATAAAAGGTAACTTAAATCTAACCACTCGAATAGATATTCTCAAACACTAAAAGAACTAAAGGAGATTTCTCTCTGGAATTTCCTCGGGACTACATTCTATCGCGTAGGACTGGTTGTGGTCGAGGTGTTCCGAGTCTGAGGCTACTCCTACTACCGACTCTGCCTCACTCATGAG